ACGGGGGGTCCGGCTGCCAAGGAATTGCCCAGTGCCAGCCAATGTTGGAGCCATGATGCTGGACTGGGGGAGGCCAGCACCGCTCACAAAGGGCTCCCTTAGGACGCAGCCCTGCCCCAAGCTCCCTCTTCCCCCGGGGCTCCGTGCTCAGCCTCACAGGGAGTCCCAGCTGTCCTCCAGTTCCTGCCCCCCATACTCATGGACAGAAGCGAGGAGAGGAGGCCCCGGTTTACGACCCTGTTTACCTGGAGAGAAGACAATGGACAGAGGGGGGGCCTGGGGCCGGGGATCTCAGATGCCCAGCTGGGAGCAGGGGGGGCTCGGGGCTGGAGAGGGGGAGCAGGCAGAGCCCACCTGGATGCAGAGAGACTGGGATGTGCTGGGCTGAGGGAGGCCAGGCCTGAGGGTCAGAGAGTTTCCTGTGCCGTGTTCAACTCTCAATAAACCCTCCTGTTTCATGCTGGCTGAGAGTCACACCGGTCTAGAGAACAGGGTGGCATCAACCCCTTCGGGGGTGGAAGCCCCGGGGGGTCCAGAGCGAGGGGACTCTCTGAGGGGGCCCACGGCACAGACAGACGTGCTAAGGCTCAGAGAGGTGCGGCTCCAGGAGGTGGAGGAGCCTGACCCCAAGAGAGAGTGGACCCCCGAGAAGGGCTGTCTCACTGAAGGGGGTTCCCCCCACGAACTGCACGGGGCCAAGAGTGGGCACGATCTGTGAGTCCGTGACATCTGTCCTGCAGCCCACGGCAGCAGCAGGAGGCGAGATGCCAGGCGCAGAACTGGGCAAGGGGCCGAGCGCAGCGCTTCCCTGTGGGCGCAGGCTGAGGGGACACAGGGGCAGTGCCAGGACTAGACCCCAGACCTCCTGGGTCCCACCCCACTGCCCAAGCCACAAGGCAGCCCGGCCGCTCCATTCTGTGACCCATGAGGGAGGCTGTTGGAGGGGCTCATGCGGCCTGGTGGCTAATACAAGCATGTCCCATGTGCACAGGGTCCCGGCCCTAGAGCTCGGAGCGCGCTGGGTCCCGACCCCCAACCCAGCCCCACCCCAAGGAGAGCTCAGAGCGCGCTGGGTCCCTGACCCCCAACCCAGCCCCACCCCGGGAGAGCTCGGAGCGCGCTGGGTCCCGACCCCCAACCCAGCCCCACCCTGGGAGAGCTCGGAGCACGCTGGCCCGACCCCCAACCCAGCCCCACCCTGGGAGAGCTCAGAGCGCGCTGGGCCCCGACCCCCAACCCAGCCCCACCCCGGGAGAGCTCGGAGTGCGCTGGGCCCTGACCCCCAACCCAGCCCCACCCTGGGAGAACTCACAGCACGCTGGGCCCCGACCCCCAACGCCAGCCCCACCCTGGGAGAACTCACAGCACGCTGGGCCCCGCCCCCTGCCCTGGGGGAGTTCACGGAGGCTGGCTCTCTCCCACCCCAGCTGGCCTTCCCTTCCCATCCTCCCTGCTCCTCACCTGGGCGTGTTTGCTCCTCTCCCCCCGCCCAGGCCTGACCTTCACCAGCTTCCCAGCAGATTAGCAGAGCCCAGCTGGGAGCCTGATTAGCCCTGAAATGCTGCTCTGGGCAGAGCTAGATTCCCAGCTGGGAGCTGCTGCCCAGCTCTGCAGAGGAAATGGGGCGCGGAGCCCAGCCAGGCTCCGATGCACCCAGGGGACCCAGCTCGGGGGTCCCACCCCAGCCAGCCAGACCAACGGGGGCCACAAGTCACCCGGCTCAGGAGCGGCCGCAGGGACTCCAGCTCCCAGCATGCAACGCTGCAGCTCGCTAGGGGACTGGGTCCATCAGACCCAGCCCCCTGCTCGCCCCATGGGCTGCCAGGAAACACCCCGTGTGTGTGTGTGGGGGAGCTCGGGATCTGCACCGGCTGGCAGCCCCCCCACACTGCCTGGCCAAGCTGCATGCTCCCCCCCGCCTGTGCTGCACCATGGGTTTGCCTGCATGGCAACAGCCTGCGCGGGAAGAGAGGTGCCCGCCAGCTCCCCACCCATGTGTATTGGGGGCGGGGGGGATTAT